TTTCCAGCTGTTAGTATCATGGTTGCTAGGCAACCTGGGCAGCGCAACGGAGGCTAGACCGTCCCATTTCACAAGCCTCGCACTTCCGGCCTTAGCGGTCTTTAAGTACGCGGCCCTTGAGGATCGTTGAGGCTGCGTACTTTAAGGCTGCAGACCCTAAATTTTGATATAGCCTTTGGCTGGACCTGCCCCTTTGAACTAGGCCAGAGCGTCACGTCACCAGGCTCCTGATTGGTTGTCCTGGCTCGACTTGAAGCTGGAGTTCAGATTTTTCCAACTTGAGCGGCAGATGCGATAAGCGCGAATGCATAAAATGCAGCGTGTGTTTTATTTCGTGTCAGTCGCGATACTTGGTCGCGCGAATCAGGCAGAAAGCGTTTTCGCGACGCAAATCTGCTTCTGAAGTTTAGCCGGACCCCCACTCGCGCTCCTCCATTGACTTCTTCTTTTTCTGTATAGGGTTTATTGGCGGTTGCCAAACAGCAAAACGGTGCATTACCGCCACCATCTGGTGTGGAGTGTCCTCAGTTGACTTTACATGTAAACCAGAAGCTCTTCTTCTTCTTCTTGAGGGAGGCTCGTGAGATGGCGGACTGAGCAGTCGCATCTGTCTGAACCAATCACTGTAGAAACCCAGGTACGGGCTGACATCTGACTAAAAAAGGAATACACAGTGGAACATTTCGGATGATGGGACTTTTACCTCAAGACTTTCCTACTCCACCTCCTAAACCTGTTCTTTAAAGCTGTTCATGTGTTCCAATTGAAAACTAACATTTCTTTTTTTCCCTTTAACACAAGGGGACTTAAAGACTCAATTAAGCATAAAGCTGTTTTCTGTTCTGCAAGGGGCAACAGGCAAATTGTTTTTTTTTCCTCCAGGAAACTCATTCTGAGGAATCTGATGTGAAGTTTTGGTCACAACAATGGGGAGATAAAAATTTTTTTAATCATGGTTACAAACAGGTCAGCTGGCTTTGTTTCAACAGATGTCCTGGTAGGTTTTTGTGCAATATGGCAGACAAAGATGGACATTGGGTTGCCTGTGTGTTAAATACTGATAATACTCTGATTATTTTGATCAATGTTTATGGATTCAACAATGATCAAGAGAATAAGAACCTTTTGTATCAAATTTCTACAGTTATAAAGGAACTTAATACCAAATTCCCCACTGATTATATAGTAGTTGGAGGTGATTTCAATGTGACTCCTGAATGAATGGTTGGCCTTCAAAATTTTCAAAAGAACATGAAAACCCAATATTTAAAATTTTCGCTAATGATACTAAATTAATAGATGTATGGAGATTCTTAAACAAAGATGTCAAACAATTCACCTGGCACAAACCTAATGGTCAAAGCAGGTCACGTATTGATTATTGGTTGGTATCCAACTCAATTTTACAATAGGTTAAGGAAACAGTCATCTCTAATGGTCCCTTAAGTGACCATTGGACCATTATTCTAAGACTACAAAGCAAAGACCAAAGCAACACATTTAAGGATTATTGGAAATTTAACTCTCAGATGCTGAGAAATGAGGAGTATTGTCATTCTATTAAAAATAATAATTTTATATATCCAGAATGACGAAGCCATCAATACACGATACTCAAATGGGAATATCTTAAATTTAGAATCAGAAAAACTTCAGTCACATTCAGTAAAAAGTTAAACAGACAAAGGAAAGAAGGGGAATCAAACGTAATAAAAGAACTTATGAATCTTTATGGCAAATTGAGCTGGACTGAGGAGAAAAAAAAGGAAAAATTAACAACTTACAATCTAAATTGGACAAAATGTACCTTCATAGAGCCAACGGCAATTATTTGCGATCCAAAGCCAAGTGGATAGAAGAGGGTGAAAAGAACACTGCCTATTTTTGCAATCTAGAAAAACGTAGACAAGAATATAATTCAGTATGTAACCTAATAATCAATGGAGAGGAATGTGCAGACCCTAAACGCATTTCAAATGAAGTATTTACTTTTTACAGTAACCTTTATAAGTCTTCATACTCAGAACAAATTATCACCTCCTTTTTGACAAAATCAGTATTTGGATTCCAGTAATTGATGATAATTTTAGAGAAATTTGTGATGAAGACCTAACTATAGAAGAATTTGATTTTGCTATCAAGAGCATGGCATCTGATCGCTCACTGGGATCAGATGGAATAACAACTAATTTCTATAAGCACTTTTGGGAAGATCTAAAATTACTATTATTCAGTGCGTATTAATCAAAAGGAGCTTATGCCAACAATGAAAGAAGGAGTTATAACATTAATTCCAAAACTGGGAAAAGATAAGAAAAAACTAGGTAATCTAAGACCTATAACACTCTTAAATAGGGACTACAAAAGTTTTACAAAAGTTTTAGCAACCAGACTAAAAACGGGTATTTCTGAGATAATTAGCCCAACACAGTCAGGATTTCTCAAAAAAATACAAAAAATATTTACCCCTCCAATGAATTTTTAAGAGAAAGATTTAAATTTGTGTCAGACAACTGTTATATTTGTAAAACAACTTTGGAAACAACAGAGCACATGTTTTATGGGTGTGTGACTGTCCAGAATTTATGGAAATCCCTCCATGTCCTAATATTGTCCCAGTATGGAAATATTGATTTTTGGTCTTTTCAAATAGTGATGTGTCAGTCGCAAACGAAACTTTGAAGTGAATGATGCGAGCCGGCTCCTTGTGGGTTTTTTTTTCTTTCTCTCACCCTCTCTCTCTCTCTCTTGCACTTGCACAGGGGGGAGGGGCGGTAGTTACACTCGCAGTAGAACAGGAACAGAGCCAGAGAGAAAGAGAGCGAGGGACAACAACGTCACATTAGAAAGGTATAGTAGGTTAATCCACAACTATTTTCAGTTGCAGATGATAAAGGATTCAGAAAGTTTATTCATGCAGGTCCATATGACAGAGAATGTGCATCTTCTTTTTGTTTGTTGTGGTTTGCAGTATTTTGTGTTGTTTCCCTTTACATTTATTTAAAGGAAAAAGCTGACAATTTAAATAGTTAAAAGTTGAAATGTGAATAGTTGTATTATATGATTTATTTATTACATTTTATGTGGAGTGAATAAATAAAAGTATATTTACGGTGACCCCTAGAGACAAAACACCTACAAACTCCAAAACACGTACAAAACACAACAGAAGTACTCCAGGATGCTAGGGGCAGTGTTGAGCTTTGTACGTGATTTGTCTCTAGGGGTTAGGGCTGGGCAAAACGATTATTTTCCTAATTGATGAATCTAACGATTAATTTTTCAATCCAATTCTATTTTGATTTGATTCGATTAATTCCCCATTATTTGACTTGTATAGCAATTTCACATTTACTAATTTATATATCTCAATGAAAAACACAGATTTCTTCATTTGAACACCTTTTAATAAAAAAATTGCAAAATATAGTTGTAGTAGTAGTACAATCTTATATTAGAGATAGCATTTAACAAGAAATGAAATGTGCAAACATATATACAATTAAGGAAAAGTTAACAAAACATTTAAAACATTTAATCCTTTGCAGAAGCTGCTCCTGGATGCGTTTGAGGTGCTGGTGCATAGCCGTCGTGCTTTTACGATAGGCCATTTCCACCTTACAAAGCTGGCAAACGACTGAATCACTTCCTTTTCTGTTGAAATATCCCCATACTGTAGAACTGGGTGTTCGGGTGGAGTGATTTAAGTCGACTGCGGCTGCCTCACTCATTTTGCCGCTACTCACTGCCGCCATGTCTGTTTTGAAAGTGATGACGCATCGACGCACATTTTTTTTACTAGGCGCATATACCGTATATATGTATATGTAAACATAGATAAATAAAACCACGATGTTTTTTACATTAGTAATTCCTTTTGTGCATAATTTCATGTTTTTATTGATAATAAATTAATTAAAGCAACAAAACAACCTGAAGAGCCGGTTAGGAGCCGAAAGATCCGGCTTTTTTTAGTGAGCCAAGCCAAAAGAGCCGGCTCTCTAAAAAGAGCCGGAAGCCGGAAGAGCCGAGAGAGGGGAAACAAGCCAATTTATGCCATTTTATTTGCTTTATTACATTTGAAATAGAAATTGAAAGAGTTCGGGAACAGAACGTGTGTAACAAACACATTAGAAGTAAAACGCTTTTTCCAAGTACGCTCACTGGTTTTACTTAAACAATAACATCTAAGTATTTGATGGAATTTAAAGATAACGTAGAAAAAAGAATCAGGCTGGAGTAGATCTGCTGCACTATGTCAGACACAGGAAACCTTCAGCTGGACGACCTGAATGAGCTGCAGGTATCCAGGTCACCTGTCGTCACTTTGAGTTGCACCAAAGGAGCTGGAATGGACTCAAAGTGTTTCCTGCTGATTATGCAAACAGTCATGACTTTGATTATACCGACTGTGCCTGAATGTATAACTTTAAACAGCTTCTTGGGCATCTGTTCATTGGTTTCCTTCATTTTTCTTGTTTTTATAAGTGAAAAAGGAACAGAGAAGCCCACCTGACACCACAGCTCGCTGACGTAGTGTCCGTAAGCCTCCCGGCCTCCTTGTCCTTGGAGTGATGGAGGGAGCGGGCGGTTAGCGGATATCCTGGAGGAAGATTCTCATGCAACACTTTAAACTTCTCGTCAGCCAGAGCCTGACTCGGGGTGAGAGAGAGGATGGGAGGAACTTGTCACGGCCAAATCAGGAAAACGGACGCAAATGCAGACGGAGACACTTATGAATGTGATAACAACACTTTATTTATAAGCTGTGGAGCAACACTTAAAGGCGATCATGTACTGTGAACTGAGTCCCATAGACAACAATGATGCTAAGTTTAGTTAGTAAAATAGTTTGCTAGTGTAGCTGCAGACACTAGTCTCATTTCAGTTTGATGGTACAAACGTAACAGGAGTGACATTATTGATATTTTACTATATACACACCATTTTGGAAAAAAGAAAGCTCAGTGGTGGAATCAAATATGACATTTCAGTCCAAGGTATTTATTTCTATTTCATATCATTTATGACCCCTGTGTGAAAGCTTTAGTTATATTTAAGGACAACATCCCCAAAATAAAGTCAGAGATTTGATCCTTGTGTGTTTCAGATAAAATGAAGACAAACTGATGCAGTAAATATTCTTTTATTGATGAGAAAAAAAAGTTTTTTGTTTTCTCTTTTAATTTTGAGATTTTTATAGCTTTTTTGCAACTTTAATCTCAGTTCTTTTTCAAACCTGGCTATATATATTTATATGTATAAAACCTTAAAAGAAGTTTGTAACTTTACCTTTTTTAACTAAGTAAATTTTAGGTTCATAGAAATATTAGTTTTCATTTGTTACTCGCAATTTTATTTTTAAAATTCCCTTAAACATAATTTATTTATTTTATTTTATTTTTTGTTGTTGATTGATTGCTGATTGATTTTGGCAATTTTGGTCCGCCACGCTGTGGCCCCGCCCTATCTCGGTGATTGACAGCTCGGCGTCCCTGCCTGCGTCGCTCTGCCCGGCCTCCGCCATCTTGCCTCTCCCTGCCTGCCAGAAGCCGAGTGCGGAAGTGGAAAACGGCAGTGTGCGGGGCTCAGGGTTCCGCCTGTGGACGGCCAGCCAGATCCTCCAGCCGACACAGCCAGCTTTCCATCATATCTTAACGGTTTTGTAGCGCGCCAGAGACCCGGGGGGCAGAGATGGCTGGACGGTTACCGGCGTGTGTTGTCGACTGCGGCACAGGGTAAGCTGTTTAGTCCGGACCGCCGTGCAGGCAGACGGGCAGCCCGGGGGGCTGAGGGGGCTGTCAGTGTCAGCAGGGGCAGCAGCCATGGGTGTGTGTCTGTGTACACTCACAGCTGGGCAGCGAGCGAACATGCTAACAGCGACTTATTACTGCTTATTATCGGGAGCTTCAGGGTTACTTTAAACGCCTTCCTGTTCTGGTTCTCCTTCCTGCTGCTCAGGTGGTGTTTTCTGGTGCAGACCTGAGGCAGGAAGGGTTCCCCTCATTCATCTGGAGCTGGAAAATCTGCACTTCCGCTCTCATGATAATATCTGATGCTAATAAGATAAAATTTTCCTTGCTTGTGTTTGCTCCCACTTTTTTAAAAAGATTGTAAAAACGAGTGTAATTCATAAATCTCTTTGCTCACTAATTTGGGATTGAGCATGCGCGGTACTACTTCCTACACAGCCTACACTTCCTCATTCACGTTTTTTAGTCCATATATGGTCGTCTCTCGGCATCCGAGCGTGTTTTTTTTTTTATTAACTTCTCTAATTTCGCCTCTTTTACCGGCCCGCCGATTCTTCTCATAACGACTTGATCTCGCAGATAAAAACATCTAAAACTTTGACATCGGATGTTGTGTTAGAGGACAGAGGAAAAAAAACAGAGAAAGACAATCTGAGCTCCTCCTGCAGCTCCTTGCATTGATCAGAGTACTGCTGTGCAATGCTCTTGGAATTTTGGTATCAATCCCATAAAGTAAATACAGGGCTAGCTTTGCAAATATTAATGCCGATACTTTTAACTTATAAAGCCAGGTTATGTCGAGGAGAGCAGTCTGTCATCAATTATGAGATGAATCATCATTAATTTGCAAATTCTGAACGTATTTTAATCACCACCAAATCACTGTCATTTTTACTTTACACAATAACTAGCTACAACAGAACAAAACACACCTTTCTCCCCTATCCTGCAATCACTCTGATTTATTTATTTATTTTTTATTTGGTTGAAGCTAACAGATTTTTCTCACATGCTATCTAAGTATTACAGCCATGTCTATAAATATTTGGACAGCGACACAGTTTTTATGAATTTGTAGCTCAATGCTGCCATGATGGAAATGATTTTGTATGCGTGGTTTTAATGGAAATGCTGTGTTAGGTGTCAACAGCCTAATTTTGGTTGCAGACCTTCTGTTAGATGATGCATTAAACCATGCATGACATTTGAAAAATGCTGTTTCCTTTTCTATGAAGGAGGAAGGAAAGAGTTAAGAGTCAGTATTAAAACAAGGTCATATTTATTTTAGTCTTGCAGGATATGAGAATGTTTTGTCATTTTCCAGGCTCATAGGTAATTGGAAATAAAATGAAATGTTAACAATTAGCTGAAGTTTTGGAAAGGGATGATTCTGAAACATATTGTTCAGCTGTACTGTTCCCTTTTGGGGACTTTGGGGGGAAAATGAGGTCAGTCCATAAGTATTTGGACAGTAAAACAACTTCAGGTTTTTTTTTCCTGCTTTAAAAAAATGTTGACATCCACCAAATGAATGCTGGCTCTTCACAGAAGGAAAATCACCAAGACTGTGAGAAAAATGTTGCCTTTTTACTCAAGCTGAAGTCATACTCATGTGCATGGCCATCCTGAAAGGACACTTTGGAGAAAGTTTTTATTAAAAACGTTGTTGCTGTTGCCACTCCAGTTCATGTTAAATGAAGCAGTCAGGATGTGCTGAAAGTTCTACAAATCTGAAGAAATTATTGCATTAACTCCCTTGGAACTGCTGCCCTTTTCACACGCTGCAAAAACTATAAATGAAAGGATTGTTTTTAATGATTGCACCACGCGATGAGTTGTAAAAGATGAGCAGGACTGGGTTCTTTTTTTTTATGAATGAGGAAGGAAGGCGTTAAAGTCTTTCTGTGAATTATATTTTTAAACCTTTGGTTTTTTGTGCCCTAAAAACATGTTTACAACATTACAGCTGACATCATTTCCATAATGCTGCTTCATAAATGCTGCATGATGCATATAAGTGCAGATGTTCTTTAATATTCCTGTTTTGGACATGCTGCAGGTTTACAGTCAAAACCAGAAATTAGGATGGTTTTCTGAGGTGACGGTTTTGGTTGTTGGAAGTATCTTGTGTGTGTGTGATTATACACACAAGAACAGTTGATCTAATGTTTCTGGTCATTTGATGAACAAAATGGATCCAAATGTGAAAAGAAAATAATTACAAACTGGTGAAAGGTCAAAAGATCTTTGGTGGGCACCACAGTGCATTCAAAATGCACCAACTGAGTCGTGATAGGAGTGCAGCTTTATCTAATGGCTTGTTTGAAATATTCAAATTGACTGTGCAGCCATTTTCAGAGGCTCAAACGCTGCAAGAACGTGAACAGTAACAAACAGAGGGAGGTGTTTTTTATCCCTACCTGCAGCCCTGGCTAAAAGGTGCTGCCGGTGTGATAGGTGTGCTTGCTCTGTTAATCTGGGCTAAACGTGCCATGCATTGCTTGCATGTGGAGGCTTGAACTCGTCACAGTGCATACAGCTCGTATCAGCAGCCTGCCTATCCCCTCAGGCTGTTAACCAATCTACTGCAGCGAAATCTGTGAGCTAATTTCTCCTCAGCGAGCAGACGGCTTCATGATAACCCTCATGTTCCACTTTTATACCCATGCAAACCTCTGACCAGAAGAAAGAAGAGTTTAAGTTTGATTGTTTTCTATTTTTCCAAGTAGAAACTTTGCGGCGGAGGCACACAGTGCCAGCTGTGGGCAGATGTTTTTACAGCTCTGATGGGGCTCAGCAGCTGCCTCTGACTAATACAGTGACCGCTTCACATCCTTTTACACATCATCAGGCCTCTGAGTGGCCAAGATGATGTTATCAGATTAGACTGAAAGAAGCTCAGTCACGGTCATACTTGTTTTTTGGACACCAAAGCTTCCTTAAAAAAACCAATCGCAGGTGTTGCAGCTGAGGTTTGGGTGGAGTCTTCTGTCTGAAGCAACCTGTGGGCGTCTCCTGACATAAGTCATGCTGGACTTAAAAACTGTGTTTTCCAATAAAAATAAAGGATAATTTAGCTAAAGGCAGCATAAAACCTGCAGCTCGTGTTGTCCTGTGCAACAATGTGTCCGCTGTCGTGCTGGGTGACGTGCTTTTTTTCTTTTTTCCTTTTTTTTAAATTTAAAAGCGTGTCCGGGCAGGTCAAAGTAGGCAAGCTAGGACGGCTCTGTGGAATGAAGGTTTTCAGAGGACTGTTGTTGTTACACATGTGATACAGCTGTTAGTGTTTACGATTGCCAGCACAGGGTTTTTCATTTTTAGCTGTGTCCAAGGCAATAAAACCCTGAATCGTGGTCATTTTTGTGATGAAATTTTGAAAGTTTATCTTCTTTAAATAAATGGGAAGTTGAGGTTTAGGAGGTGGATCAGGTTAGTGGTTTTATTGGTTCTCATTTTTCTCAGAAGTTTAGTTTTCTAGTGTTTATTCACACACTTTTTAGTTTTAAACAGCTCTTTGTGTCGCAGAATAATGTTTGTGTGAGTGTTACTCGTATCATAAAGTGCTTTGAGTGCTTGAAAAACCAGAGAAATGCAGTATTAACAGAGTCTGTTTACCATTCAAAGTGTGAAGCCATCCCTTGTAGCATGTGTCAGATCATCATCACTCTGTAGCTGTGACTTTGACAACATGAATGTGACTAATTACGCACTGATGAAGGAAATTAAGTTGCACAACATTTTTTTATGGGAACTTTTGTCAGCTCAATCTTTTCCTTAATCAAGCAGCATAAATCTTTAAGGTTTCCTCAGACAAACGGCTCCAGTGCTTTCCAAATGGCGACTCTTGGGATTTTGTGTCAGTTAAATATTATCACTGTAAGCACACATAAAGTAATGAATGATATTCAAATTTACTGCATTGCTGAAGACCGTTTGCCTTCTCCTCTCGCTGTCTGAAGCATACACTCTGGAAAAGACGAACCTAGCTTCCAGGTATCTTAAACGATCACTTTTTAATGGCCACTAGGGGGCGAGAAATGTGTTTGCAAAAGGACTTCCAGTCCTAGAAAAGTCTGAAGACCTCTGTAAACACTTGTCTGACTAGTGACTGTTGTGACATCATGTCCAATGTTAAAACACCAAGATGGTGACGGCAAAACTGCTTAGCTCAAGTTTTCGTAATGGGATGTCAGTGGGTGATGTCATAGCAGCTATGGGATACATTGCTGCCTGACATCACTCCATGAGTGATGAGCGTTTCTGCTGCTCCTTCTTGGCCTGACTGAGGTCCAGAGGGATGCTGCTCACTCACAACGACACAATAAATCAAATCCTGCTTTATCATCCTTTGTGACCCTGATGATTCTAATTTACAACACAAACATCCTATTTATAGATTCAAACTCACTGAGGTCATAGCTCACATGAGCTGATTTCCCACAGACTCATGTCACTGTTTTTGACTTGGAGATAAACTTTCACAATGCAATAAAGGCAAAAAATATATTTAAATTTTCATTCATTGTCATATTTTTTTTTTTTTTTTTGTGAAAGGAGCCATTAAGGATGTAAAACAAACTGAAAGCACCACACTTACATTTCATCATGAAGAAAGAAGCTATGCGTTCACCGCGCCTGTTCACACTTCTTCTCTGTTTTGGGCTCCACCAGCCGAGAAACTCGTTGCTAGCTTTGTGTGCTGTTGGTGCAGGTGAAGCTGTCTGCAGTGCAGCCCTCAGTTTCAGGCTGTGGTTTTAATGCTGTGGCTGGTGGGTGCAGTTATCTGTTCTGTGTGGCTTAAAATAACTTTGACTAAACCAAAATTCATGCGGTAAGCTGCATGGTCTCTTAATAACTCTGCCTCAGTTTGTCACTGTGAGCGTCTAAAGTACAAAAATCTGAGCTCATGTGAAGTAAAAATATTGAGTCTGCTTAGTCTCATCTGACAATTCAGTAAGAAGAGACACGGCAGACATGGTGACATCATACAGTAGGTCTCCAGGCTCCAGCAGCACAGGTTTGGTGGGCTTCCCTCCGAGTTTCTGCTGTGCTGTTTTTTCTGGCTGCACCTTAAAACAAATAAAAATCAGTGCTGGCCAGAGCTCTGTTAATATTTCAATGTGCTGCACAGATAAAGTGTGAAGATGCCAGATAAGATTTTACTGTATAACCAAAAGTTGTTGAGCTGAAGCGGAAAAGAGAGAACTGGGCGGTGTTTTCACTCTTGCCTGTCAGCTCGTACCTCTTGCTGTCAGAGGACTTTAACTTTATTTGACCCCAGAAACATAAATCAGATGGTGGAGCACATCTGCCTAGCTGTGAAGCAGAGTTTCCCTTTTTGTCTCCCAGCTACACAGACATGCGTAGATCTGCAGAACATGTGGGCTTTCTAACGGGGATTTTTATTTTTTACATTTTTCTTTCACATTTTTAACAAGTTATCAGGACGATTTAGTTATTTTCGTGTAAAAGCTGATGTTTTCTCACAGGCTTTGGCCATGAGATCAGCGAAATCAAGTTGTTAAAGGTGTTTTATTTATTTTTTATTTTTTTTAATATGTTCTCCATCCCAGCCGGTTTCTTCTTAATCGTACATCTCTGCTTCCTGTCTGTATTTACTCTACACAAACTGCAGCGTTTCCTGTGCATCAGAAGGTGCTGTGCATGAAAAAGAAACCTATGATTGGACAGGAAACTCAAAAGCCATCATAACTGTCTTAAGGGTAAATATTCTAAATAGATGTTTGATCCTGGATAAATCTCCTGAGGTTCATCGTCTCATTTTAAGGAGTTTCAGTGAAATATTACAGCAGCTTGAGGTCAAACAAATCTAATGAATTCATCTGTAGGTGAAAACATTTAGAAAATATGGGAGGAGAAGTGATGACATCATTGAACATGTTTTGTTCACAGTTCAGTTTTTATTTTTATAGCCATAGTTCAGAACAACAGTTGCTTAAAGGTGTTTTATATTGTTAGATAAAGACGGTACAGTCAGATGATCGGCTGTGAGCAGCTTCTGGTGACTGTGGGGAGGAAGAACTTCACGAAGAGGACAAAACCTCAGATAGAACCAGGGAGGGGCAGCCATAAGCTTCAGGCTGTTTTAGCAAGTTCCCATTTTACTTTTGGAAACTGTAGAAACTACAAGTAAGACAGCAGTCTGAGAGAGAAATGCTCTGTTACGATAATAAGGTACTGTGAGGTCTTTAAGAGTTTGAATGAATGAATTCCAGTCTAGAAGTAAAAAGTACATAAACTAATTTTTCAACATCACTCTGAGACGAGATGTTTCTAATTTTTCTAACAATAATCATCAAATGAAAGAAAGCAGTCCTACATTTTTAATTAATCTACACATTGAAGAACATATACTGGTCCACAATGATTAAAGGATACCTTTACAGTATTGCTGGAATCCAAGGTCATGCCATCCAGAGTCAGTATGATTAGAGATGGTGTTTAGAAGTAGAAAATTAGGCCATTATGTCTGTAAGAGGTGCCTGTAGTTAAACTAATTGATTAATGTAAACTGGTCTCGTAGGTAAATATAGGTGGGTGTCATCTGATTAGCATTTAGTTAAATGTTTATTTACATTTAAATATTTTTTATATTTTAATAATATTTGTTCTTGATTTCTTATGAAGAAGATCAAAAGCGAGCAGCCTCATATGAATCTTATCTTTAAAGTTGGTATTTGAGTCGTATTTTTAGGACATTTGTTGTGCCATAACTTCAGCGTCTTTGAGATACTGCTGATGTCTTTCCGGCTCCTCGTTTTGCAAAGATGAATTCAAAGCAGCCACTGTTGTGACCAGGATGTGGTTTGTTTTGCCCGCGGTGCTCTGGCATTCGTCAGCAGGGTCCTCTATCGGTCCCTCGGGCCTTGTGTGCAGGAAGTACAGGAGCCCTGAGCCGGGATCACATCTGGTTCACATGTGCCTGCGAAACATTGTTCAAACAGAGGAGAGACGGTTGTAAACTCAGTTCTTTGATGTTAAATCTGAAGGTGTGCTCTCTCAGGATCAGCCATTCTTAAATCTTAAACATCTTAAATCATTTATCATGCTTACAGATTCTCTCGTACTGCAGAAACGCTGCAAATGCAGCTGCCCGAGTTATATGAAAGACGCTTGATTTCCTTGACAAACATAGACGAACATAGTTGACCAATACAGCATGAATGGCTCTTTCAGGGGGCTCCCATTAGCAATCCCCAGAGTCGCTGCTGCTTTTGGCACCCACCCAGAGCGCCTGAGGGACAGTGACGCCATTGATCAAAACGATAGGGCCAGAAATAATCTTTACTGAAGGAAAAGGCCTCGCATACAAATGCAGTTCCAGCAGACTCGATGTCCACGACGTGCAGCCGGTTTCCCTGTAGTGACACTGATTGTTGTCTGTTGCAGTTACACCAAACTGGGGTATGCAGGGAACACGGAGCCACAGTTCATCATTCCATCATGTGAGTATTTTGCATCCTACGTATTTAAACCAATTCCGCCAACGGGCCTCCGCAAATGTTTGACATTATTCCACTTTTCTAATGTCTTTAGTCATAAAATACACCAGGTTTTATCAGTTTATTTTCTTTCTCTGTTTAATTCTCTCTTTTCTCGTCAGGTATCGCCATCAAAGAGTCGGCCAAGGTCGGGGACCAGGCCCAGCGTAGGATGATGAAGGGGGTGGATGATTTGGACTTCTACATCGGAGATGAAGCCATAGACAAACCCACGTATTCCACTAAGGTACGAGACCTTTAGAGGAATACAGAGAATCCCGGTCGATGTGAATTTCATCTAAACAAGGAGAGATTGGATATTTTATCAAGGCTCAAGCTGGGCTACTTGGTTTTGGGGTGCATCGTGTAGATGTTTCTCTGCACTCGAGTCAGACTAACAGCTTGTGAAGAGGCAGACTCAAGCAGCGCTCCCTTCTATTTTTAATTTGTGAGAACTGCAGGCTGAGCTGGACTCCCAGCGCTAAAAGGTGGGATAGATGAGACTGTAGGAGTATGTAAACTTAGTGGATGGTCTGTGACTTTGCTGAGGGTTCAGCTGTTGAGTGTCTGGAGGCTGAGGAAGGAGAGCTGCCATCTTTATCTTCTCAGAATAGGTTTCTGTAATGTCACCGATGTCACTCATTAAACGGAGCTTTGTTGCAACAGTGGCCCATCCGTCACGGCATTGTGGAGGACTGGGATCTAATGGAGCGCTTCATGGAGCAGATCATCTTTAAGTACCTGAGGGCCGAACCTGAGGACCACTACTTCCTGTTGGTAAGAGTCTTAAACACAGGGCCTCTCCAGTGATGTTAAACGTTCAGTTTAACTGCAACAGTCACTTCTTAGAAAGATAAAGATAAATGAATTTAATGCTCTGTGTTAGTGTTTTTGATCTGCAGAGGTTAGGTCCAGACTTGAGTCTAACTGTACCACATCCTGTGTTTGCAGACGGAGCCTCCACTGAACACACCAGAAAACCGAGAGTACACTGCCGAGATCATGTTCGAGTCCTTCAACGTACCGGGGCTCTACATCGCTGTGCAGGTCAGGCTCCCTTACCCTAGAGCTCTAGTTTGTTTGTTTAACTGTGGAAGCATGTTTGTGTCTTTATTTTGCAGTGAAGACTAGAATTAATTCAACTGCACAGGAGGTAACTTTATATGGGAGTGTAAAGTTTGCAATAATAGGGTCCTGGAAACGTTATAGGGCAGGTGGCTGTAGCTGGTAGCTGTCAGCTAGTTGGTCTCTGTGTGCTGTTGGAGCCATTTGGAACATTTTTAATGATGTTATTCATCAACAAAAAGGCTGCTGTGGGGTTAATTGTACTAACGGACCGTACAAAAAGACTGTGCTTCAGATTATTGAGTGAAATTCAATTTTATTTGCACTAATTAGCAGGTATCTGTTCCTGTGTGACGCGCCCATACTGATATCTTAGTGTGAGATTCAGTTCAACATAAAGCAAAACTTGAGATTCTGAAATGTATTTTACTTTATTTTTAATGCAGCGTTTGTTTTTTATGTTCTATCATAAAGACACAAACGAGCCTCCGTATGTGAACATATATGATTGTATATGGAGGAATTTGAAAGGTTCAGTTATAGCATGTCTGTTTTGAATAACTGTTCATATCATGTGATCATGTGATCATGTGACCATGTTTAGTTCACAGCAGTGTGTCACGATCACTAGCACTGCTGAAGTGTGAACATACTGTGAAGTGTGTGACATTCCCGTGTGTATGTGTGCGTGACAGGCCGTGCTCGCTCTAGCTGCCTCCTGGACATCCAGACAGGTCGGGGAGAGGACGCTGACGGGTACCGTCATCGACAGCGGAGACGGCGTCACCCACGTCATCCCTGTGGTGAGTATTCAGCTCACGCCATTGAAGGACACGCCTCCCTGAGCTGCATTTATTTTGTTTTCTGTTCATTAGAAGAAAACAGAAAGTTTCACAGAGGAAGCATCGACAAGACAACCGAGAAATGTTTTGTGAAACATGAAATGAAAGTGATGGTTTGAAAGTTTAAAATTGAAACATTTCTGATTCAGAAATGAGACGCGTCATTTCTGATCTGTTTACCCACCTCAGTTCATTTGAAGTAAAGATAATCATTTAAAAAACATTGATAAATTGAGCAGCGGAGGGTCTGGTGTTTCTTTTGTTGCTCAGTGAAGGTAAAATGGAAACAGAGCGGAGTTCTAGTACAACTTCCAATGTGCACAAAGAACCAGCAACACTTTTGTTTATAGACCGAGTTTATGTGATTGGTGTGTTTCAACATGTGGCTTTCATTACTGAAGTCGTGCCTGAAAGCTCTGCTTTTTTCTTATTAATCCACCTTTTTTTTCCCTTTTTTTTGTTCTGTAATTTACTGTTTATGTGAAAATTAAACATATTTTTTTGCATTTCCTCGTACATTTTCCCTGTTTTCCCGTTTTCAAAAGGCTCCTTAACTGTTTTTTTCCCCTTTCTGCCTTCAGTGTGCACTACTACAGATATCTTAAAAAAGCAAAAAGTTTCAGAAATGTGTTTTTAAACCTTTGGAGAAACTAACCACTCACATGCATCTACTTGCTGGTTATGACTAACCAAAGCGAATGTTTTCTAGTGTGTGCTTTAGGAGTTAAATGGAGTTTAATGTTGTGTGTACAGGAAGCAGGCACACTGTTTTTGTTCATTAAAAAATGCTCCTGTGCTAATTTTAGTCAATTATTTCTACAGCGTTTTAATTGATTGCTCTTTTCATTATGGTCATTTGTAACAGTTAATAAACACAGATGGCTTTCATCTACCTGTGATGCAGAGCAGCAGTGTGTGTTTCTTTGAAGTTTTATACACCGTGTGCAGTGTTTATATATTTTTCCATTTTGCTGAGTAACCGGATAGTGCC